AAATTTAAGTGCTCATAACATATTTGTTTCTAAATGTGTAAATGATTTTTTAATTAATCTGTACTTGTTAGATTTAAATAGTATATACATTTTATAATTGCATTTTTATTGTATTTTTTTACATAATTTTACGTGAGTTGATTTTTTTTATTAACAAATTAAATTTCGAGTTCTTTTTATTATCTGACCATATGTAACTTCAATTACAAGATTCAATTCTATCTAATCCTAACACGTCTTAAAATTACAATGCGTGGTTAACTGCATCTATGAAATATTTCATAATTTTTTTTATGTTTTGCTTAATTGGTGCTGACCTCTACAGAGGCTGTATTTTTAGCAGAAAAAATATTTAAATAAACTTCAAAAAAAAAAGATATAAAAAAAAAAATAGTAGAAACCAAAACAAAACTTGTTGGTCATCATTTCATACTCAAAACACACCAAAAAAGAGAAACATGCCTCTTAATTAATTTAAAACAGCATAATTTTGTAATAAATCATGAAAAATATTTTAGATACTCACACAATTTAATTTATTGCATTAATTTTTGAATATTTAAAAATTTATATCAACAGAATGTAAATGTATCTCAAGTAAAATATGGGCATATGTTTAGGAGGTAGCGATAACTCTGAAGAATCGTTCTATTTAAAATTAATTTTTATTTAGTATTGTATGCTTTTTGGGGTTTCAAATTATTAAATTAATACTAATTATTTTCATTCAAATAAAATTAATAGAAATGTAAGGTGTATTAGTTAAATTAAATTAAATATTAATCAATGGTAATAAACTGGGAGGATAGCGTTAAATATCACGCTGGACAAACGATTCATATGGCTTAAACATGTTCAACTGAAAAGAATTAGCTGTGCCAAAATTCTTCATTACCTCCAACCGCTATTCAGAAATGAAAATCTCAATGCTAAGAACAGGAAACTGGTATATAACCAAATAATTCGTCCGTCACTTCTATATGGTTGTGTAGCGTTTAGCAAAGCTTCAAACACTACTATTCACCAGCTAGAAATTCCACAAAGCCAGGCTCTGAGAAGACTTTTCAAAGTACCATGGTACATTATGACGAATGACATCATCAGGGATCTCAAGATTGATTCCATCAAAAAATACATAAAGAATAGAGCCCTTCAATTATTTGTAAAAACTGACAGACTTACCAACACCGCGTTTTCAAATCTCAGAATGGTTATAGGCTCCTTGGGGAGGTATGTATGCAGATCTGACGTCAATTATTGCTTAGTCTGATGAAGTGATAAACAATAATCCAGTCAAGGCGTAAAGAGGGATTTTGAAGATACCTCGAGTTAATAAAGAGTAAAAGTGCTCAAGTGCACTGGCTCAAAGAGCTTCAACATAATAATTATTATAAATACTTTAATTTGTTATAACAAAATTATTTAAATTTTGTGTGTAATAAATTATTTCTATAAATTGATTATACCATATGTTCTTCATACTTTATTTTATATCATTTAAATGATTTACTTTTTCATTTTATTTTATTAGTATTGTAAAATAAAAACAAATATAGATAGTTTTTTTAGAGTACTGGTTAGCACTAAAAATATTTTTAATAATTTCAAAATTAAAGAATAGAATGCACTTGATAATATAGACGTTTAATAGTCAAAATAGATAACTCAAGAAGTAAATTATATTGGCGTATAGCGTAAAGGAGAAATTACTCAAAATAAATTACTCTACTAAAATTCGTTGTCAATTCGTACTGCCCGGTAAGCGGAATCACTTCAGACTTTAGAATATGAATCTCTTAGAAAAATTTTTGTAATAATTATAGATATCTATGAATATCTTTCAATACTCACACAACAAATACAATATATTATTCTATACCTGTATAACAAATACTGCAAATGGCAATTTATGTCGTTATGAGTAAAAACAAATATATACTTAATTAATAATATTACCATATTAATATTAATATTTACAATATATTTACGGATATTTTTATATGCATAATATAGATATTTCGTTAATCAGGAGAACCTTTGGAATGTAATTGTATGGATTATTGAGGATACTAAGCTTACAAAACGAAATAAGAAATATTTTTGGAGCAAAAATTACTGGTGAACATTGTCGGTTAATTTTCGAGGCAATATTATGAAAACGCAAACTTCGACTTTATTCCTGAAGATTGTCTTCATCAAGACCAACACAATTATTCTATGGTAGAGTTTCTCTAACATTTTAATACTTTACTTGTAGAAAGATTTATATTTAGCCTACAAACAAGAAGCTGTTTCAGCGATGACCTTTTTATGTGAGCTGAATCTCTTTACTTGGAACATTTTTTTAAGGTTAAAGAATAGTTGCTTGGTTCAAGTCTGACATATATGAACCAGTTACCTAAGACACAGGGCATTGTTTTGATAAAACAGCATTATTTTCTTTTTCCAGTGAGGCTATTTTTTGGTGATCTCGTACTGAAAACGCACTATTAGCTTTATATAATATTCGCTATTGGTAGTTTTTTTAAGCTAGTTGATGAATATAAACTATGCCCAGTCCAAAATACTGCTGCCGAAAACTTACCAGCTGATTATTGGGCGGCTTTTACCAGATGATCTGCACTTAGCTGATTGTTGTGTTGACTTCAGAGTGAAGTAGTGGTTGTATCAAGTGTCACGTATTGACGTTATTTTGTTTAAGTAGCTGTCTAAATCGTCGTTGTTGTTAACTGTTAGTTAGTAACAAATGCGTACTCCTTTCGAAAGCAACTTTTTTATGGACAAGTTTTTATATAAAATAAATCCAGCATGTTCTTTGATATATCTAGGGTGGCAATTATATTCTGCAAATTAAGTTAACGGTTTTACAATTTTATTGAACTAGTTTGATGTTTTCCGGTGCAACTGTTTAATTGAGCGATATGAGTGGGACACTTTTTTTTCTATATATAAGGTTTTTTGTCACATAACACTAGTATGTGCCACCACTACATATTTTTAACGAATCCTCTACGTTTATATTATCCTAAGACATAGTGCTTGTAGTTTGCTTACAACTATGCATTGATTTAGGAGATTGAACAGATCTTCTTTCTGTCCAATATTATTAAAAGAGAATGTTGAATCGTTGAGTTCGTCTACATCTTTTTTTACTTACTTATTGTAGTCGTCTTCTTCTTGTAAAGCATAAGTCTATATCTTTAATTTCATTAAAAACTCAAGGTAACCATTTATGATTCTTAAAAGTTTGTTATGAAATGAATCTAAGTATTTACTTAAAATTAAATTAAGGTGTAGTAATCAATTTAATCTTAACTTTTCTATAACTAAGGTATGAAAGTTGGTTTTGTACGAAGATGTAATTCGTTATCACTAGAAGTAGATCCTATTAACTTATTCCTCCTCAATAATATTACTCGTCCGTATTTTCTAGGAATCATGTTTTTCGAAATTCGTGGTAAATATGGCAATATATGAGTATAGATATATATTTGTGCATATGTGTATGTTTTAAGGACTTATAAATCCATTGGTTTTATTAATTATTAATCACATTTTTTTTATTTCCATTTAATAAAAAATTGATCCTGCTACCCTACTAAACAGGAATATAGGTTCAAATATAGCTGAGTATACATAGCTAATGAACAATCTTTTGTTTTTAATTTTCAAGATTTTACTATATAAAATTTATATTAGTTAGTATATCATATTCGAAGTGTATTAGTTTATATTCTTACACTTTAAGAAGTGAAACCATAGTGATGATTTCTTTTTTAATAAATAGAAAGCTAATTTTTCTTATATAAAAAAATCAAATGAAAATTGAATATCTAAATTGGTCCTATCAAGAAAATCAGTTATGAAACATTTATTGATTATATTATGATATACTAATATATTAAAGACAAAATGATTTTGTTTTAAATACTTTTATATTTTATTATTTCGAGATTTTGTAAAAAACATTTCCTAATACTAAACCGTAAAATTATCCAATTCTTTTATATTAGTTTAGAAATTAAAAGATGGTTGAGGGTCGTTGGGGTAGTGATAGCCTGGTTCTGGCTTTGATGGTGGTGGTAAGTATTCATTCTTAGGTTTCACTGGAACTGGCACTGGCTTTGGTGCTGGCACAAATGGTTTTGGTGCAATTGGTACAGGCTTTGGCACTACTTTTGGAATCACTGGTTTGGGTGCTGGTTTTGGCTGTGGTGGCAAGTATTCCAAATCAGGTTTTTGAGGAATGACTGGTCTAGGTTTTGGTGCTGGTGGTGTTACTTTAGGTACAACTGGTTTAGGTGCAACTGGTTTTGGTGCAATTGGTTGGGGTGGCAAATATTCATTATGTGGCTTTTGTGGTACTACAACTGGTTTTTTTGGTACAATGATTGGTTTCTGTGGTACAACGACTGGTTTTGGTTTTACTGGCTCAAAAGGAATTTTTGGGTTTTCATAATGATAACCATTTTTATCCAAATCACCAGCTCTTGGTGCTGTATAACTTGAGAATGAAGTAGAGGCAGCACCAACATTAGCACCAGAAGAACCGAATTGTCCGGATGTTACTTGTTTGAAACCACCTTGGAATCCACCCTGGAATTGAGCGGTAACAGCAGGTTGATTGAAAGTAGCAGCAGCTTGGAATCCAGTTGAAGCAGCTTTGAAGCCAGTTGAAGCACCTTGGAAGCCAACGGATGCAGCGGGTTTAGCAGCAGTTACGGCATTGTAGGAGGAAGCAGCTGGTTGTGACACAAATGAAGTTTGTTGGAAAGTAGCAGCGGGTTTCTCGAAACGTGCGGTAACAGCAGGTTGACTGTAAGTAGCAGCGGCTTGGAATCCAGTTGAAGCAGCTTTGAAGCCAGTTGAAGCACCTTGGAAGCCAACGGATGCAGCGGGTTTAGCAGCAGTTACGGCATTGTAGGAAGAGGCAGCTGGTTGTGACACAAATGAAGTTTGTTCGAAAGTAGCAGCGGGTTTCTCGAAACGTGCGGTAACAGCAGGTTGACTGTAAGTAGCAGCGGCTTGGAATCCAGTTGAAGCAGCTTTGAAGCCAGTTGAAGCACCTTGGAAGCCAACGGATGCAGCGGGTTTAGCAGCAGTTACGGCATTGTAGGAGGAAGCAGCTGGTTGTGACACAAATGAAGTTTGTTGGAAAGTAGCAGCGGGTTTCTCAAAACGTGCGGTAACAGCAGGTTGACTGAAAGTAGCAGCAGCTTGGAATCCAGTGGCAAGAGGTTGGAAACCCACCTCAGCAGCTGGAGCGCTAGCTGTGTAAGAGTGAACAGCAGAAGCAGCTGGTTTTGCAACATATGAAGTTTGTTGGAAGCTAGTTGAAGCAACTGGTTTTGGGATTGGAGCCCTTACAGCTGGTTGAGCAAAAGTGGCAGCTGCTTGATAATTGCTAGCAAAACTGCTTGGTTTTGGAGCTGTATATACATGTTCTTCTGATGCTGCTGGTGCAAATGAGGCTGAAACATGTTCAACGGTTGCGGCAGGCAATTCATAGGAGTGTGATTGGAAGCTAGCAGCTGGTTTTTGTTGGAAAGAACCAGATGATTTATGAGCTGCAACAGAGGAGTGCTGAGTGGATGCAGCACCATGATGATGTTGAGGTGGCAAGTACTCACGATTTACTACTGGAACATCGACAACTGGAACTGGTGCGGTTTCAAATGCTTTATGTGGTTGCTGATAATGATAACCGTCAGCTTGTAAATTGTCGCTGTGTGAGAATAAATGTGATACATCGGCGCTCACTACCGCCAATAAGGCGAATGCAATGAAGAATTTCTGCAAAATTTTAAGATAAAGTATATTTTAACACCGCACAATTTTTTTACTTAAGCATAAATTTTTATTCAATCATTTTAGTTGGTAATACGAAGAGACATTTTCAATTTTGATAAATGTACCGTGACTTACCATTTTTTGCGTTTCTAATCCACTCAACGAATGTAGAAGAATAACTGCCGACTTTCTAGATTTTGAAATTATTTATATTGCTGGTTAGTTAAGGATTTGTATATCTTCTAACTGCTTCTGCGGTTTTGTCTAGAACTCACCGAACCGGCTTCACAGAACAACTCCCATAAAATATTCTTGAACGATATATTTTAGCAAAATCAAAAACTATAAAAACAAAATTCCAAAAAAATATTTTATTAATAATACTGTAAAAAAAAAATCAAGCATAAAAAAATCAAAACAAAAAACAACAGAACTAAACGGTAGAAGACTTCACATAATATAGAGTGATGTCAAGAATTGAAGAGTATGCGAGACTTAAACCGGCAAATCGAAGTCTAAATCAAATTCAGAAATTTAGTCATCACGCATTTATTTAGTAATCATCACAGCGTTTGAATTAATTTACAAAATCGCACAAAACATTTTATTAATAAATATTGAAATTATACATTTTATTGTACTTTAACAACAGTGTGAAATTCATTAAAATGAAATCTTCCTGTGTTAATTAAAATCAAATATATGTATAACGATGAAGGAGAACTGTTTTATTTATTCCAAAATGTTTGTTAAGATTTTTTACAATTTATCTCTGAAGATATAACATGTTTAATTTATGATATGAATACTTTAATTTTTCATTTTTTTTTTGTGTAAAATAAAGTGTGTATGGGTAACGTTCAAAGTGGGTAAATGACATCCGAAATATAATTAGTGTATAAAAGTACTGCCTGGAACTTATATTTCTACTCCTAAATAATTTCTTCAAACTTCAATGCTTTTAATTTTACACTCTTTAACCCATTTATATCTCTAAGGATACTTGGGTTCCTATATATTTACTATATATAGTACCAAGTGGTTCAAGCTAATCTACTTTCAACTTATAATTTCTATTATTTTTTGAGGTGTTCAGAAATATTAGTGACAAAGTAAAAAGTAATGATTTTAAAATGTGTGTAAAAAAGTTTATATACTTTAGGTTTATAAAGTTAATTTAATTTTTGTTAAGTAGACTACTCACAACTATAAGAAAAGTTGTTCTAATTCACTTACCATTTTTCACTTTAATCCGTAGCTTTCGCCTAGTCCTTGCATATCTTTCTCTGTCTTGATCTCTTGGGATCATATTGCTTTTTTGTGTTAATTTTTTTATACAATTAGATAGAAATCTATAAATTTACTATAATAAGATCAAATAAATCTATTAATTATGTATAGTATATTCCAGTGGTTTCCAGTGGTGTAGTTGGAACAAATTTAAATTTAAATGATAAATTTTGCAAATTATTTTTAAAAAGAAAAAGCTGTTGTATTTATAATGTTTTATTGATATTCAATATTTTATTTTAAAGTCTGATATCGTGTCCATCTCCGTTTCCATTCTCAAACATTTCTTTAGACATTTCTTACGAATATATATTTCATTCTTTTTCATAAGAGAAAATCTATTTCTTTTATTCTTATTTTTTTTTATTTTTTATAAAGGAGAATTTATTTCCTTTATTCTTATTTCTTTTTATTTATATTTCTTTTTTATGTCTCCGACTGTTGTATTATCTTGTAAATACTATAGTAAGCTTTTCTATAGTAAAAGAAATATATCATATCTTGGAAAATTGCGTAGTTAAAGACAATAGGTATGAACGTAAAAACTCGAACATATGTTATAGAAAGAAATATCGGAAACTGATTGTTTTTTCTTTATTCTCTATATTTCTATCATTATTTTCAATCATTACAATACCGTTCCAACAAAAAGAAAAAGAACAAACAAAAGGATTGTAGAGACAGTGTATTCATAAAAGAGGACTTTTTCACCATCCAATTTGTTTATACATGGACATAAATTTACAATATGTTAATATATTGCTTGGGTTTAGAATATTCAGTAATCGCTATAATATAGGACAGGTTTTTCCAAAAATACTGCTTATAGGATTTTAAGGGTTTCCATATTTACATTTTGTACTTCTAAGCATATTGCGATCCTAAAGTAGACAAATTACTGGAGGAGTTCTTATTGATTTTACAGGCTTCTGTGTACTAATGGCTGAATGATGTTCAGTTATTTATCATCTTATCTAACAATAAATGAGAGAGGTTTTTCATAGTAGGAACTTTTATGAATTATTTCAACAAATTGTCCAGTACAACTATTTGTAACCTTATATCTTTTTTTACTCGTGGGGTCACTTAAGTTTCTAATGCGATGTTTTCCAAAACTGCTTCGATATCTTCATGCTATCTTAACCGTTATAAGCTATATTTTTTGCGTTGTTTGAAAATGCGCTCTTAATTTTTGCTTTTGAATTCCATAAATCAAATAACGATTTTATTCACTGCTATATTCTTAAATTCGTTATTCTTTGGTTGTTTGGTTAGTTGCAGTGGCAGACATAAGATAACCTTCATGTACCTTAATTAGCGATTTTTCGCCGTTTTGCTACCACATTTCCCGTAAGAACCCCTAGTATAAAAGAGTAGAGACTAAAGCCATCCCGTCATATTTAAATAATTTAATAGGTCTCTAGTCTTCATCGATAAATAGTCTGATAGACTGTTAAAGAAGTATCTTCCTAAAATCCTATATCGTCTGGGCACCAAAGCCGGCATTCACAGAGCAAACATATTATTGTTACGTTTTCCTGCGGGTTTCAACAACTTCTGCAGTGAGGAGTAATTATAAGGAATACGAAGTTTCTCTGCGTGGATTCCTAACACCAATGACCAGAGGGAATTGCAGTAAGCCTTGTAGTGTTCATGCGTTCTCTTTTAATGAGTTCGCAGATTCGTAATTACTTAGTGCTTAGATTTTTTTATACAAATCCTAATTGTTGGATATTAAATCTTGTTGTAAAAAAATGGCAATGTTAAGACACCTGGTAGTTTTCTTCAATTTAGGAAACTGAGTATCTTTTTATTAGTTATTATGCATCACAAATAAAGAATAATTATTTTTGTAAACAAATAGTTAGTAAGCCTTGATATTTTCTATTATGTGTTTCATCTAGAATTGTTCAAATAAATATATTAGAGAAAAAATTATATGTTTTAGTTTACCATTTGGAAATACCCAAAATTTAAAAATTAAGATTATGCCGGCTCAACGAAAACTTTTTCTTTCTATTAAATTTGAAGTTTATCAGGATAAAAACCTGGAAATTTATAATACTTGTAAAAAACAACTCGATAAATATCCTTGCTCACTTGTCAAGAGTGAAATAAGTGTGAACAGTGTTGAGCAGAGTTTCGAGGGGTTTCTAGAAAGCGAATTTCCAGTTATACGGGAATTTGAAAGATTTTTGGTTCATGAAACGGTGAAAAGGAATGATGCTCAATTACTTATATCAGATCTCACGAATGTTAGAAATGGTTATAAATCAAAGCCCGAAACAAAAATAGGTTAGTAAATGATTTATTCTGAATACATATTTTAGCATGATTAAATGCTTTCAGTAGTCAGAAATATCACGAAAATTGATGAGAATGATTGTGAATGAAAACCCGAAGCAAATATTGATCGGTAAAGTGTATATTCTGATTTTCTTGCCATATATAAAATATTTTAATCATATCACATCTTTCAGAAATAGCATTAGGTATGAATCCGAGAACCAAACATAAATCGATAAAATACTTCTGAGTACCTCGCTATATGCTAAAATGTTTTCATTTATAAGAGATGTCACGCAAATTGATGAAATTGACTGTGAATCAAAGCTCGGAACAGAAATAAGTCAGTAAACATCTTATCCTGTTTCGTGGATAAGTATTGAAATATTTGTAGTCACATTATATCTCCAAAAACTAATGGATGTGTATGTGAATCAAGTGAGAAATAGTTTGGTAAATTAGTTATTTTTTTTTTTTGCTACATATTAAAATGTTTTCAGGTGAAGCAAATATTGGAAACAATGGTTCGGATAAAGGAGTCAATGATGTGTATCTCAATGACCTCTTGATCATAAAATTGTAGGTGTGTGATTCTCACAAAAAATTTTAAGTGATACAATTTGATGAACTTCTGTATTTCATATCAGTATTAAATTATAGTTGGTTGATTGCATGAATTCAATAGTTATTTTATTTTATTTTTTTTGAGTGGATGAAATAATATAGGTAGAAGAAGACTTATAATTAAAAAATTGAGAATGAGAATATCAAGTGAACTGAATTTCAAAATATATATAGGCTAAATCTTGAAGGAAAATTTATTGCACTTTTATTTGAAGCTAAAATTGTTTATAAGAGGTGTCATTCTTTTAACCATCTATTCTGTTAAGCTTCTGCCAACCTGTATACTTTTTGACAATAGTAGACTTTAATGGCACGATCCTTTTTTAGAGAGAAGTATGTTTGACAGTAAAAGAAATTCGTTATGTTATTACACTTTCTACACTTTTATTATATCAAAATGCTACATTCAAGTATGTAAAGTTAGTCACATCTTGATATATTAGTTCAGTAATATTCGTAGAGTATTCAATAATACTCTATTTGTGTTGACAGTTGAGGGGAAAATGCCTGAAATATGATCAGAAAGTACTAAAAACTTTGAAATTACACTTACTGTATCCTTTTCATGTAGTTGAGCATTTTTTGTGTATTGGCTGCACCGTCAGTAACGTGTGTGTTTGCTATCAAGTAGTTGTTTGGCGTAATTTTTTTGCTGAGCAAACTAACAAAATGTACATTAGTGTATATGTAGCGATTTATGTCGCAAAATAACGGATTGGGTAGTAAGTGTAAAATATTGTGTTAGAAACAGAATAACATGCGGGGAATGACACAAGGTCTTCGACACCGATATTAAATTTACAGTATTTCAATAGTTAAGTTCCTTACAAAAAAATCAGTAAAAAAAAGATTTATAGTGCGTGCAAGTAAAGGAGCTGCTATAAAATAGCTTGTTTAGAAATACTTTTGTCATAAAAACTGCATATCAATATATATCTGCATATCATATTTTTATTAATGGTTTTAATATAAAATAAACGACAGAAAAATTTATTTTTAAAAATTTTGTCTTTTCAATACCTTATGGTGGTATATAATATCAATGTAATGTCGTAAAAAATCCACATTTCTAGCTATGGTAGACTTTAATTTCCTGAACTTGATAAAGTAAAACAACAATGATATGCGGACGAAATTGAAGTCAAAACCATACCTCAAAACGCTTTCCAAGAGTGTTTTTTAAACTGTAACCTAAGGAAGTGTAAATATATGTCTCTAATAGAGATTAATGTAAAAAAATATATAATATATTTTGAGCTCAATAAATATATATTATAAAAATTGAAAATTGTAGTTTTTTAATTACAGGTTTTATTATGTTTTTTTAAGTAATTTTTCTATTATATGAAGTAAGTCCTTGAGTGTACTTTTATTTCGATTAATTAGTTATAACATTAGATATAAGAATATTATATATTAAATCATTAAAAGAGTAGACGTGAAAATTTCCCAACAGCCGGTACTGCGACCAGAAGAGACCTATTGTACCAGTTTCACTATTGATTAAACAAAGCCCCTTAAAGCTTTGTGAATGAAGTCTAGAACTAAATCTAGAAAAGAGTTCTTAATCTGCTCTGGTGAGAGAAATTCTTTATAAAACAGGAATATTATATAAGATTATTATATAGTAGATATAATATTCGCTCTATGTTTGAGCAAAATTTCTGATAATTTCTCGGATTAGTTCTTTACAGCAGTAGACAGTATACATTGACTATGGTAAGGATAAATCACACTGTTTAATTCTGAGTATCATATATTTATATTTATATTATGGCTTTGTTTTGTATATATTGTATTGAAATGTTAGCTATTGTGTTTTAAGTATTGTTGTAGCAATTCTTACTTTTAAGGGTGACGTAGGTTTCTAGTACATCTGAATTTAATTTTCTATCTTATTTATCGATCATAAATCAATTCTCAAATATAGATTAATATTATTTCTCTAGCGTTTCTAATGAAATTGCCACTGATACATAACTAGCAATGTTTTTGTTGAAGATGACTGTTAATCAATTTAAACTGATATTAAAAATCCGCTGTATTTGGGTATACGGTATGTATAAAATACACGTTTGCAAAACCTTTATATTGGGGGTTTTAACTCTC